GAAACAAAAAGTTACTGGTTCTTTGATAAGATTGATAAACCCTTAATCAATCTGACTAGATGGAGGAGTGAAAAGACCCAAATTAATAAAATTAAAGGTGAAAAAGGAGACATCACCACAAATGCCAATGAAATCCAGAGGATCTTTAGGGAATACTTTGAAAACTTATATTCAAGTAAACTGGAAAATGTAGAAGAAATAGACTTCTAGATGTATTTAACCAACCAAAATTGAAACAGGAGGATATAGATCACCTAAATAGATCTATTACAAGCAATGAGATTAAAGCAGTAAGAGTCTCTCAACAAAGAAGGAGAGCCTGGACCCAATAGATTCATGGCTGAACTTTACCAGACCTTTAATGAAGAACTAACACTAATACTCCTCAAAATTTTCCAGGAAATAGAAAGGGAAGGAACACTATCAAACTCATTCTATGAAGCCAGTATTACACTCATTCCAAAACCCAACAAAGATGCAACAAAAGAGAATTACAAGCCAGTATCTTTAATGAATATAGATGCAAAATTTCTCAATAAAATACTGGCAAACTGAATTTAACAATACATCAAAAAGATCACACCCCATGATCAAGTCAGTTTCATTCCAGGGATGCCAGGATGGTTCAACATGCATAAATTGATAAATGTAATACAGCATATAAACAGAAAAATCACATGTCAGATTATCAATAGGTGCAGAGCAAGCCTTTAACAAAATTCAATATCCTTTCATGATAAAAGCACTGAAGAAACTAGGAAGAGAAGGAATGTTCCTCAACATAATAAAAGCTATATATGACAAACTTACAGCCAACATTATACTAAATGGAGAGAAACTGAAACCATTTCCTCAAAAGTCAGGAATGAGACAAGGTTGTCCACTTTCTCCACCCTCACTCAATATAGTTTTGGAATTCCTAACCAGAGCAATAAACAGGAGCAAGAAATAAAAGGGATTCAAATAGGAAAGGAAGAAGCCAAAGTATCCCTATTTGCAGATGATATGATCTTATACCTAAAAGACTCTAAAAACGCCACCAAAAAAAACTAGAAATCATAATACTTTTTGCAAAATAGCAGGATACAAAAATTAATATAAGTAGTTTTTCTATATACCAACAAGAGATTGAGAAATAAATCAGGGAAACAATCCCATTTACAATAACATAAAAAAAAATAAAAATAAAGTGCCTAGGAATAAATTTAACGAAGGAAATGAAAGACCTTTTCAATGAAAACTATGAATCACTGAAGAAAGAAATCAAAGAGGATGTCAGAAGATGGGAAGGTCTCCCATGCTCATAGATTGGCAGAATCAATATTGTGAATATGGTTGTGCTACCAAAAGCAATCTATATGTTCAATACAATCCCCATCAAAATTCCAATGACATTCTTCACAGACATAGAAAAACTGATAATAAGGTTCCTGTAGAAGCAAAAAAGACCTCAAATAGCTAAAGCAATCCTGAGCAAAAAGAACAATGCTGGAGGTATCACAATACCTGCCTTCAGTCTGTACTGCATAACCATAGCAATAAAAACAGCATGGTTTTGGCACAAAAACAGACACAAAGACTAATGGAACAGAATAGAAGACCCAGACATAAATCCATGAAGCTACAGTAAATTGATTTTTGACAAAGGAGCCCAAAACATACTATGGAAAAAAGATAGCCTTTTCAACAAATGGTGCTGGGAAAACTGGATATCCACATGTAGAAAACTGAAAGTAGATCCCTGTCATTCACCCTGCACCAATACCAATTCAAAATGGATCAAAGACCTTAATATAAGGCCTGAAACTTTGAAGCTACTGCAAGAAAGAATAGGGAATACATCGTGACAGGCATAGGCAATAACTTCCTAAATAGAACTCCAATGGCTCAGCAACTAAGAGAAAGGATGGACAAATGGGACTGCATTTAACTAAAAAGCTTCTGCATAGCTAAGGAAATAGTCACTAGACTAAAGAGACAGCCTATGGAATGGGAGAAAATCTTTCCCAGGTATTCATCTGATAGGGACTAATATCCAGGAACTCAAAAAACTCAACCCCCAAAGACTCAACAACACAATGAAAAAATGGACACATAAATTGAATAGAGAATTTTCAAAGGAAGAGGTACAAATGGCCAGTAAGTACATAAAGACTTGTTCAATTTCCCTGGCTATACAAGAGATGCAAATCAAAACTACACTAAGATTTCATCTCACTCCAGTTAGAATGGCCATCTTTAAGAACACAAACAACAACAAATGTTGGCAAGGATATACCAAAGCAGGAACCCTTATATCCTGTTGGTGGGAATATAAATTAGTACAATCATTATGGAAACCAATATGCAGATTCCTTAAAAAACTAAAAATAGAACTATTCCATGATCCAGTGATACCACTCCTGGGCATCTACCCAAAGGAATGTAAATCAGGATATAATAGAGACACTTGCACACCCATGTTTACTGCAACACTTTTCACAATAGCCAAGTACTACCAAAAAAAAAAAAAAAAAAAAAACATGAACGGGTAAGGAAAATGTAGCTATATGCAAACAATGAAATATTATTTGTTCTTAAGAGGAAGATAATTCTGACACAAGCTTCAACACGGCTGAACCTTGAGGAGATGATGCTAAGTGAAGTAGGCCTGTCACAAAAAAGAAAAATGCTAATTCCACTTATATGAGACATAGAAAGCTGTGAAAATCATAGAGAAAGAAAGCAGAATGAGGTTTAGGGAACTGGGGAGAGGGGAAAACTGGAGAGTCATTGTTAATGACATATAATTTTTGTTTTGTTTTGTTTTTTGAGAGAGGGTCTTGCTGGGTTGCCCAGCCTGGGCTCAAACTCCTGATCTCAAATGATCCCCATGCCTGAGCCTCCCAAGTAGCTAGGACTATAGGTGTGCTCTAATGTTCCCAGCTTCAGAGTTTTTATTTTATAAGATGAAAAAAGTATGGAGATGAATGAAGGTGTGTTAGTCATTTTTTGTGGCTATAACAAAATACCTGAAAAAACAACTTAAAAGAGGAAAGATTTGTTTTGGCTCACAGTTACAGAGGTTTCAGTCTATGGTCATCTGGGCCTGTGGTAAGGCAAAACATCATCAAGGGCACAATGTAGCAAAGCTACTTACCTCCTGGGAGCCAGGAAGAAGAGAGAGAGAGAGAGAGAGAGAGAGGTGCAAGGGGCAAGATATACCCTTCAAAGATACACTCCCAGTGACCTACTTCCTCCAGTTAGGCACCACCTACTAACCCATTCATCTATGAACTTATCAATGGATTAATCCATTGATAAGTTGATGAACCAATCATTTCTCAATAGTGCCAACAACTGGAAACTCAACACATGAGCCCTTTTGGGGGGATACTTCATACCCAAACCACAAACACCAGGGCTACTCCAGAAGAGCCAGGCAGTACCTGCTCCTGCTCTGATCCCTGTAGAGAAATGGTTAGAAGAGAAAAATGGGCTTTGCCCCAGAGAACAAAGGCCCTAGGTGAATAAGCAGTTCATGGTCCAGTTTCACGGCAAGGTTTTCCCTAAAGGTCCCCAACTACTCACCATCCTCTTAGGGTCTCATCCATTCCAACAGGATGTTGTCAGCTAGCCATCCCTCCTCCCCATACCTGTCTGGAGCTTTAAGATTAAAAATAAAGATATTCACCAGAACCTGGAAGTGACAGAAAAGTCCTCAGGTCCCAAAGTTATCACTGTCTAAAGTAGGGATCTGTAAGGCGTCTGTAAGGACGATGGTTTCCCATTAGTGACTCTTCAAATCACATGTGACTTCCAACTTGAGGGGACCCTCCTGTGGAGCTGTAGAGGTGGGCTGGGGAAAGGCAGGAGAATGGAAAAAATGAAGAGAAAGGAAACTGAAGAGTGAGATAGAATAGGTCTAACAGATCATACAAAGTGCAACCACATAGCTGTGACATTTCACAAGCAGTGTGGAAACAACTACAAAGCCCCTGAATGAGAAATGCCCTGGAGAAATAAGTCACCCACGGTGCCATCATTGGGAAAAGAGTAAGGGGAGCCCAACTGCCCATGTGTCCCCAGTACACAGAGTTTAAGATCCCCAAATTGGACCTCTTTAGGGAACTGGGGAGATACAGATGACACACATAGGAAACCACCTCCTGCCCAAAGCCAGGAGGGAAGATGCCCAGGTTGTCATAGGACACCTGTGACTGACCCAGCCAGAGGGGTGAAGAGAGGATAAAGATGATACTAAGGTGAGGAGGAGGGTAGGCAAGGGTCTGTTGGGCAGTGGGTGGTGGCCGTGTCACAGGCTGGCATGAAGATTAAAGCTCATACCAAGCACAGATTGAGACACAGAAGACACAGGTCTAATACTTTGTCTGCAATTCTGAACAACGCTGTAGCAAGCTCATATGACCATAAAACCACTCAACTGAAGTAAGCCTAGTTATTTATACTCATCACCTCTCCCACATAGTGTAAACACTCAATAGTTTTTGCTGCACCAATGTGTTTGATATTGAGTACTACCCCAGCTCCTGGAGGGTATTTTGTGGTGCTAGTTTCTTCACATATCTGGAAAATTCTGTTTTCTAAAATTAATCTGACCCCAAGAGTTTCAGAGAAAAGTCTGTGGACGTGTTCTCAAGTTTGACTCCCTTCCTTCTTTAAACTGGTCATCTTTGAGAGAAGGGATAGAGATGTGGAGTTAGCATGTGGATTGACTCACAAATTGGACAGGAGAGAAATGTGTGGGCATGTTAGGGTCAAACCTGTGAACAGGAGAGGTGGACAACTGTGTATATCTAATGTTCTCTTTTTATAAAAGAAGCAGGATGGTTAAACACTTGCTTCATGAGCAAGAGAGATGGAAACCAAGGTGAGAAGTTATCTTTGAAGAGCAGCAGGGCTGAGTGTTTGCCCATATATTACTCTCCCCCTGTATGCGGAAAGGGGAAAAGGGGTGGAGGTTGCTGCTGTGAGAAAAAAAAAAAAAAAAACAGCCGCAATAGAGCTTCAACTGCCATCAGAGGCTGCTTACCACCTGAAGCAGAGGAACTGTGGCCTCCAAGAGGCACCAGCACCAAGCCATCAGCAACTGGAGAGCACAAAGAGCTTCCTGGACAGGAACCATGCCATGGCCACTATCCTGCTGGCTCTGTGTCCTAGGGACCCTGGCAGGGCTCTCAGCTACTCCAGCCTCCACAAGTTGTCCAACAAGACACTACCGAGCCCAGACAGGATTGTGCTGTCAGATGTGTGGACCAGGTAAGATCGAGCCTCAGCTGAGATGGGTGAGTGGGAAAGGACTGGGTTTAAGGTGAAGGGAAGCATGGGGTAAGACTCAAGCAAGGAGAGGCATCCTGCAATAGCTGGAGGTACTACCTTGAAGAAGGAGACGTAACTTGATCCCAGACCCTCTGCTCACAGGAACATTCTTCGTGAAGGACTGTGACCAATTCAGAAAGGCTGCTCAGTGTGATTGGTGTATACCAGGGGTCTCCTTTTCTCCAGACCACCACACCCGGCCCCACTGCGAGAGCTGCCGACACTGTAACTCTGGTGAGACAGGCAAGGGTGTGCAGGTGGTGACATGGGGCAAGCATTTGGGGGAACAGGGCTGGCAGAACTGGGTGTGCCAAAACAAGAACTTCATCTACTTCAAGGCTCATGGAAAGCGGAACCAATGCTAGGAAATGGGACACCCTGGATAGGCCATGTATTGACGAAGGAAATACCTAGTATGTCAAGGAAGAGTAAGCAGAATTTGAGGGATTGATGAGAAGATGTCTATGGATAGGATCAAGAAAATAAAAAGAGGAATGTGGCCAGCCACAAAAGAATATGTCTGGAATCATAACTGTGTGGGGGACTGAGGTTCATTTGTGGAGGATCACTTGAGCCCAGGCGTTCAAGGTCAGGCTGGGTAACATAGTGAGACCTTGTCTTAAAAAAATATATATATATTATACAAATATATATATATATATATATATATATATACACAAATATATAGATATATATAAAGAGGAAAGTGATTCTATAATCCCAAGTTTCAGACAAGCAACCCCTAACCAGTGAACTGGCTGTGTCCCCAGAGTCTACACTTGAAGGTTGGCTATTTGAAACTTGGAGTATATCTTTCTAAAGACAACATAAGCTAGGAGGTAACAATCTTTTTTTGCACAAAAATCATTTATCCAAAATAACTATGTATATGCTCAGTGTTTTTGTTTTGTAATTCCACCTTTTTTTAAATTAAGAGATACAATATATGCTGCTTTTCTTATGAACTCTTATTGTTTCTCTGTGTTAGCTAGAAATTCAGAAACTTTGTGCCAGTATACACTGGAGTAGCAGACTTTAACGTGGCCTCTTTGAACTAATATTCTCCAGCAAGACATTTTTTTTTCTGACGATAAACTTTAATGACTGTTGCAAAAATAAATCTGTATGAAGTAGAAATTGGTCTCAATAACATTAATAGAAAACATGTTCCAGAAAGTGGAGGTAAGTGGATGTAAAATTCTAGCAGCAATTTAATAGGACTGTCCAGATGCCGAGGCTAACACCTAAGCCCTTATCTGTGGGTAATTTTGTAGGAGTCCTGTAGAAAATCAAACTGAATTGTTCTCATGAGTGTTGTAACATTTCATACAGTTAAAAGTTTTTCTACATGCAAGACCCTTGAGAACTACTAAATTACTAAACTGTGAAATGTGTCTTTTAACACTATAATCTTTCCTTTTTTCTCTCTTTTTTGTTGGCATATATTAGTTGTACAAAGGAGTTTCATTGTGATATTTCCATACATGCATATAAAAACAATGTGGGTGGGAGGAATACTGGAGTTTGAACTCAGGGCCTCTTGCTTGCTAGGCAGGGGTTCTAACACTTGAGTCACAGTCCACTATATTATCTAAAAAGAAGTTTTGCCATTGCAAATCAGTGAAAGAGCAACAACTTATTGTCATAGGTAAAGCATGTGCTTAGCATGTGCAGACCCTGGGTTCAATCATCCCAGCATGAGAAAGAGAGAAAGAAAAAGACAGAGGTGATGGAAGGAGGGATGGAGGGAAGGAGACGGAAAGAAGATAGAATAAAATTTAAGTCTATTTAAAAAAAAAAGCAACATCTTTAATACACAAGAAATATTCCTCAATCAACTTAAGATATGATTTTCAGTCAACTTAAAAATATGATTTTCTCTTACTGACAGCAGCCTCAGCAAAGTTGAAACTGTTCTGTCAAAGCCTCTACAGGCTCCACCAGAAGGTCTTTTCCAAATACTGAGCTAGTCCTTAACTGCCTTCTAAGTTCTGGACTGGCCCAATCCATGATCTTCTCTAGGGGCTGGAGGTGTGGCTCAAGCAGTAGAGCACCTTCCTAGCAAGCATGAAAGTCCTGAGTTCAAATCCCAGTATCGCAAAAAAAAAAAAAGAGGACACTGGCATCCCCCATGACCTTCTCTGACACTCAACCTGTAGATCCCTAACTCACACAGCACTTGGCTTCAAAAGGGTGCTACAGCCATAGCACCTTTCTGTGTGAGGCCATAGGGAACAGGCTGGATGAGTCTGGCCCTCTCTGGATCTCAGAGATGAAGAAATGCCTGAAATTAGTCTGGATTTTGTGCACAGGTTAGACACAGTAAACAGAACTCCCAGGTCTCTGGATACTCACCACTAAAAACTATGGCATTTCATCCATCTGATGAAGCCCCTGCCCCTGACCTCTCCCTCAGCCCCCACCACCTTTCTTTTGAAGTTTTAGCAAGGATTTCTTTTACCATAGCAGGATAAAGTACAGAGAAGGGGGGAGGAGAAAGGCAAGCATTTCCTGCTCCCCACATAGCCAATGGGAGTAAAGACTCTCCCAGCTCCTTCTTTAACCCTTCCCTTTCACTTTTGGCAGATTCCCTCGTGATCTCCACCATATCCCTATTCTCCTCTGTCACTTTCCCAGGCTTCTCTCCCTCTTGCCTTGCAGATCTTTATCCAAGCTGGCTCATAATTTCTGGTAAGCCACAAAGGAGTCAAATTCTAGTAGCAACTCATAGTCAGAATTCAGAAAAGAGAGCATAGAATGAGAAGGAATTTGTCCCTCTCCCTGTCCTGACAAAAGACATAAACAGGGCCAGATGTGGCAGCACGTGTCTATAATTCCAGCACTATGGAAACTGAGGCAGGAGGATCTTGAATTCAAGGCTAGCCTGGGCTACATAGTGAGCTCCTCTGTGAAAAAAAAAAAAAAGAACTGAGTGGCTCAAGTGGTAGAATGTCTACCTAGCAAGTGTGAGGCCCTGAGTTCAAACCCAAGTACCACAAAAAAAAAAAAAGTATAAGCAAAAGAAAATTGTTAGAGTTGATAACAATTGGTATCCTTTTCTGCACCCTTCCTCCACCTGTCAGGAATCCTAGAACTACCTGGGCACCCATGAATATTGTCCCATATTCAGATGTTTTTCTTTTCTTCTATTTTTTTTTCTTTTCTTCTTTTTCCACATCCAGATGTTTTTAGCATTTCTCCAAGTCACCTCTCCTAGCCCCAACACTAGCACCCAATTCCTGCTTTAAGTGATCAACACCTACCAGCACCTGATCCCTACACTGCAATAAAATTTATATTTTAAAGGCAAAGGATGTCTATCAAGTAACTCTCTAATAAAGTTACAAACATATCAGGGACCACAGAAGCACTATTCCAAATTGCTAAAAAACTGGAAACTCCTCAGATGCCCAATGATAGTGGAATAGATGAATACATGGTAGTATATTCCCATGTTGGATTACTACACAGCAACAAGAATAAGCATCCATAACACCGATGAAACTCACAAAAGGGTAAGTAAAAGAAGCCAGATCGAAATTAATTCATATCACATGATTCACTTGGAGTGTTAGGAAGTAAGAACAGTGGCCACTTTTGAGAGCTTAGTTACTAGAAAAGAGCAGTGCTGGTCATCTTCTGTTTCTTTATGTGGTACTGGTTGCACCTGTGAATCTAATTTGTAGTTATGACATGTATACCTCTCTATATTATTTTTTACAATAAAAGTTATTAAAATATCAGTGAGTACAAGAGAAAACTCCATAAGCTCCTCCTGTAAATGTCCTGAAAGGTCCGTCTTCTTTAATGATGAGAACAATAATGGCAAGGCAACAGGTAGGTGACAATGAGGCAGTAGTAGGCATTTGTGGGGGTGGAGTGAGGTAATGGAAATGGAAGGATGTGTATGTCCCTAGAGTGAGCCTGAGATGGGAGTTGGGGAGTAAGCAAACGGACCGACCCCATGGGTCTCTGAATGCTAGAATGCTTGTGTTCCCAACCCTCCTCTTTCCCCAGGTCTCCTCATCCGCAACTGCACCATCACTGCCAACACCGAATGTGCCTGCCCCAAGGGCTGGCAGTGCAGGGACAAGGAGTGTACTGACTGTGATCCTCCTCCAAACCCCTCGCTGACCACTCGTCCATCTGAAGCCCCACGCTCACACCCACCACCCACCCACTTACCTTATGCCAAAAGTATGTTCCAAGACACCCTCTGTCCAGTCATTTGGGGGTAGGGGGTACCCCAATCAGCACTCCCCACTACCATGCCCACCCCCAGATAAGTGCCTGGTCGGTCTGTTTCTGCCTTCTCATCTCATCCCTGTGGTGCCCAGAACACCTTGTGGAACTTCCTGCTGCTACTCATTCTGTCTCTGTTTTTCCAGAGATGTCAGAGGCCAAGACAATCTGGCAGTCACCTATCCCAGCTCTCCCCCGCAGCTGGCCACATGAGTTTTCTCCCAAATCCTCAACCCCAGAAAGAACTCACAGAGAGTCCAGGAACCAGGAAGCTCCTAAGCATCAGGGTAAGAAGGCAGAGGGTGGGGGGAGAACAATTAGGAGAGGGCTGGTCCAGCAGAGGGAAGGAGAAAGGTTGGGTGATAGGAGGGCTGAGTTGAGAGAGCCAAGGGCTACAGTCTCCCTCAGACCCCTGTGTGCCTCTGCCTATCACAGTCCAAAGGTCTCTGTGCAGCTCAGAGTGTATTCGCATCTTCATGATCTTCTCCGCAATGTTTGTTTTCATCCTGGTTGGAGCCCTGTTCCTCCATCAACAAAGAAAATATGGATCAAGTAAGAAACAGAATACAGGCCTCCCCCTGCTCCTGTACCCCACCTCACCATCTCAGCCCTGCTGTCCATGCCTGGAACCTCACTGAATTCTTCCCAGTCTGTCTTCAACAACCTGGTTCCTACTCTCTGCTCTTCACTGGTGCCTCCTGGCTCATCTCTTCCTGCCCTTACTCCCCCACTCATCTGATTCTTCTTCTGCAGACAAAGCTGAAAGCCCAGTGGAGCCAGCACACCCTTGTCCTTACAGCTGCCCCAGGGAGGAGGAAGGCAGCGCCATCCCTATTCAAGAGGACTACAGAAAACCAGAGCCTACTTCCTACCTTTGAGCCAGCACTGGTTTGGGGGAAGCGGTAGGGCCATGGCCACAGTACAGCCCTAGACTCCTTTCCACCTCACCGACCATGCAGAAAATGAGACCTGGCAGTCCTGTTTCACTTCCATTCTCTCACCAGGACCTTTTCCTGTGTACACTTGATAAAATGCCTTTCCAAGACTGGCAGTGGCAAGGACAGGAGCCCCAAGTGTGCAATAGCCCAGGAAGCTTGTTCCCTGAACTGCGGGAGGGTCCAGGCTCTAGCTGCAAAACACAATTAAGGCTACAAAAGCCCCATGTGCTACTATATCCCTGAGCTACAAAATCAGCAAAATAAAAGTACAATTCCCACACTGCAGCTCTCTGGCTTTTTCTCTAAAATTCCAATCCCACAACTGAGGCCACGCCCAGCCTCATCTGCCAGATCAGGAATCTGAGGTGGGAGCTTTCTCCTGCACAGACCACTTGTGTTGGGACTGCCAGGGGTTGGAGGAGTGGGTCTGGGATTGACAGAAAAGTCCCCAGGCTACTGGGGATCCTGCTTCTGTTTCCATCACTCCTCCCTGCTTTCCCATAATTATGGCTCCACTTTTCTCAGGGCTGATCAAAAACAAAATCTTGAAATCGCCTGGGGATTTTCTGGGGTGTGGGGTAGAGAAAAAGGAAAACAGAGAGCAGGACTCTGGCAGCTGTGCCAAATGGCTTCACCTTAAAGGCAAGGAAGATTGTCGTAACACTTCTCTAAGCGAAAGTGAAAGAGAAGTAGGCAGAGGCCAGAAGAAATCCATAGGCTGTTGGCCAAGAAAGGAGTCCCTCTTCTCTAGCCTGGACTCTCAAGAAGGGGAGGGGACATAGAGAAGGGCAGTGGACAAGGAGAGGCTGAAAGCAGCCTCCATGGGAATGGAGCAGGGCTGGTGTCTGCTGCTCTGCTTGGCTCTCTCTGGAACCGGAGCTGGAACCACAGAAACGGGTGAGTCAGATAAACTGGTTGGGGGTGGGGGGATTGATGAGGACTGAGGAACCACCGTTCGTTCCTGAGATTCCAGAAGGGCAAAGGGACCAGGAATGCCTTTTCAGGCATTCTCAGTCTAATGGGTGAGATGATCAGCACTAGCAAAATGTGAACTAATTGCATGTGGGCAGAGGCTGAGAACTATACAGGGAGAAGGGTAAGGAAAAAGGCAGGCTGACTCTATGGAAATGGCAGGGGAGCCACTGTCTATGGAAGAAGGCACTGCCCTCGTAGCTGAAACCTTAGAAGGGCTCTCCAGGCTAGGAAATCACTGGGGAGGTGACTCCTGGTGGGGGATGGGAAGTCACAGCAATGGCAGAAAACTGAGCAGACTCAGTGGGCTGCTTGGGAAACAAGAAGATGGTTTTCAGCACACCTGGGAACAGCATGTGTCCTAGATCTCCTCCTTGGTGAAGGAGATTTATTTGTTTACTGAGAATTCCTTTGGCTAAAGAGATAGTCTTGCATCCCATAGTTGGAAGTAAGAATGAAAGCATAAACACCTCTGAACAAGGCAAATACAGAACTTTAAATAATTCACACCAGTTGGGCGCAGACGGCTCATGCCTGTAATCCTAGCTACTCAGAAGGTAGAGATCAGGAAGATTCAGGATCAAAGCCAGCCCAGGCAAATAGTTCGTGAGACCCTACCTTGAAAAAAGCCATCACAAAAAAGGGCTGGCGAGTAGCTCAAGGTGTAGACCCTGAGTTCAAACCCCAGTACTGCAAAAAACAAAAATTTGTCTAGAGTAGCAGGTACTTCCCAGAAAGCTGGATGACAGATGGAAGGACACAGAGATGAGGACCCTGAAAGCAATTATAACCCCTTGATGAGTCCACTGTTTGTGGGGTAGGGCTGGAAGCAAGTATGGAGTAATTTTCTGAGCAAGAGGGTGTTCACCCCAGCCTTTTCCCTGCAGAGGTCACAGCAGCAGAAAGGCAGTGGCGGGCAGTGGATGTGATCTTAGACTGCTTCTTGGTGACAGAAGGCGGGCACCCAGGGTCTTTTGTCAGCAATGGGAACAGGGAGAAGGCCTTGCTTGTGCTGAAGCAGGTGCCAGTACTGGATGACGGCTCTCTGGAAGGTTTCACTGATTTCCAAGGGGACACAGTGGCCAAAGATGATCCACCTGTTATCTTCGAGGCCTCAGGTAAATGCTTTCCACCCTGAGTTTAGTTTTCTGAGCTTCCTCTGCTGGGACAGCCCAGTTCCCAAGTACACCCACTCATATCTGCTTCCCATCAGCCCAGTGTGCTCCATCCAACTTCCCCTCTGTGGGCCATTTCTCCACAGTGGACCTAGTACAGATTCCCCAGGCCACAGCCTTGCTCCATGCCGACTGCAGTGGGAAGGAGGTAACCTGTGAGATCTCCCGCTACTTTCTCCAGGCCAGACAAGAGGCCACTGTTGAGACAACAGCTTGGTACATCACCAATGTGCGGGTATCCAGAGGGGGACCCAGTGTTTCCATGGTGATGAAGACTCTTGGGGATGCTGAGAATGGTGCTGACTGGCACCCCATGCTGAACCCATCTCTGAGCCCCCAGAGGACTGTGAAGACCACAGGTGAGAAAATGAAAAGCAAGCAGAAAGGAAGTTCTGTTTTTTCAAGTGGGGAGAGATGGAAGGATAGAAAAATTTGAAAGGGAACAAGTCTACCTTCTCCTATCATGTAGGTCATCTCAAGATATCCCGTAAGTCTTGGTCTTTTCTTCCTAAAACCCTTGAGTCCAGAAGAGAAGAGGACAATGCTGGGAGGTACCTACTTGAGTGAGGGTACAGGCAAAAATAAAACCTGTATATTATCTCCAAGATGGAGATAATTTTTATCTCACTGGGATGCTGGGGAAAACAAGACACATGGACCTATCCTATTCACGTACACTTTCATTGTAGTCTTCATTAAGCCAAAGACCAGTTTTCTCCCAGTAAAAAGCTAGGCTGGGCAGGGCACCAGTGGCTCACACCTGTAATTCTAGCTACTTGGGAGGCTGAGATCAGGAAGGATTGAGGCTCGAGGTCCAGGCAAAAACTAGCCAGAGCAAAATGGATTGGAGGTGTGACTCAAGCAGTAGAACACCTGCTTTGTAAGCATAAAGACCTGAGTTCAAACCGCAGTTCCACCAAAAATAAAAAAAAGCTAGTTTGGTCTGGTGCCTCAAGATAATTACAGGGCTGGTGGCTCAAGTGGTAGACACCTGCCTAGCACTCTGAGTTCAAATCCCAGTACTACCAAAAAAAAAAATTACAGCAAAACAGAAGGAGACAGAATTTATTTCTTATTAGTAAAGCCTGGTCCCTACCCTCTCCAACTCAGCAAATCCCAGAGGGCAAGATTGTCCAGACCCAGCTAATCCAATATTTTGCCTCCAAGAGACAACCAAGTCCAGAGAAGATAAGGGACTATCCTTAATAATGATAAAATAAAAAATCAACTAAAAGTCCTAGCCATCACCCTACATTGGCTATTCTGAGCAGTATCAGTGATAAAGTACTCCTCCCTGCCAGGGCCAATGGTTCCTATCTCCTCACTACTGCTTGCCAAGCCACTGATCACCATACATAAGATGTATTTAAGTTGATTTGATAATATTCTCAAATACCAAGCCCAAGTTCAAATTTCTCCATTTGTCCAATAATGTTCTTTATAGCTCTCTTCTTTTTTAAGTCCAAGATTCAAACAAGGATCATCCATAACATTCAATTGTCTAGGCCCTTATCTGTAATTCAGAAGTCTTTCATAGCCTGACATTTTTGAAGCACCCAGGCCACTTGTCTTACAGAGTATTCTCCCATTCAGATTGGTCTGTTTTTCTCATGATTAGATTTAGGTCAAGCATTTTTGGCACAAATACTACTACTGTGTGTGTGGGGTGGGGGGAATGTGTGTGTGTGTGTGTGTGTGTTTCCTTTTTCTTGTTAGAGACAGGGTCTTACTATGTAGGCCAGGCTGGCCTCTAACTCTCCAGCCTTCTGCCTCCCTAGTGCTGGGATTACAGTCATGCACCACCACACCTGGCTAGTGTGTGCTGTTAAAATTCTTATTCGTAATCTTCACAAAAGCCTTGCTTAAGCAGATGAACTTGGCAGCACTGGGAGACTTGCCAAAGCCACAGAGCCAGTAAGTAGAACAATCATAGTCCCAGAGCTTTGTCTGCTACTCTGGTAATTCTCACCTGAAGGTTGTTGATAGCACCCCCTAATTTTACATGTATACTTTTTTTCTTGTGAGAGGTCCATAACTTTCATCAGATTATCTGAAGTATAAATAACCCCAGAATGGTTCAAACCACCATTTGTGTCATGCTGTCCTCACAGAGCTCCATTTCTTTGTGGTTCCATTTGATGGGAAATAAACTCAACCGGCTTCATTGTCCAGGACAGAAGGATGGGACAGATCTATGTCCACAGCTCAGAGGCCACATGGCCTGAAGAAAGAAGCACCCACAAATCACCCCTTTTTCTCTCTGCAGTGGAATTCCAGGTGACAACAGAAACCCAATCCCTGAATTTCCCACTGGCGTCTTCAGCCTCCCTGCCCTGTGGCTTCACCATGGCACCAGGCCTGGACCTCATCAGCGTGCAATGGCGGCTGCAGCACAAGGGCAGTGGCCACCTTGTCTACACTTGGACTAGAGGGCAGGGGCAGGCCAAGCGTAAGGGAGCTACTCTGGACCCTGAGCAGTTACACACGGCTGGGAACGCATCCCTCACCCTGCCCGGCCTCACTGTACAGGATGAGGGGGCCTACATTTGCCAGATCACCACCTCTCTGTATCAAGCTCAAGAAATCATCCAGCTCAACGTTCAAGGTGAAGCTAGGACTCAGTTATCCTGGAGAGAGGGGAGAGGATACGTCTATTAGGAGTGTTTTCCAGATTGGGATTCAAACCTAAAGGCAATTTCCTGAGAGGCAGACTGTATTCTCACAACTTAAATGCCATCTTCATACTAGAAGTGTAGATGGCATCAGAGGTATTCCACTGAACTCCAAAGTAATTCTCCTAAGAAATATCCAGCCCAGAATCCTGCTGTCCTGGCTGGCCAACTGCAGTTGCCTCAGTCCTGACCATATCCTAAGAGACAGTAGCCAACCAATGAGGGGTGGAGGGAGCAGTTCTGATCAGGAGTAACCACTGGCTTGTAGTGACAATAAGAAGCAAAAAACAGGGGTTGGGATATACCTCAGTGGTAGTGTGCTTGGCTTCCAGTGTAAGGCCCTGAGTTACATTCTCAGTACCACAAAAAAAAAAAAAAAGTGCAAGCCAACCTTTTGTAGACTTTGCTATAACTTTTCCAGAAAATGTACTCCCTTATGGCCTCATTCAGGTGGACTCCATACTCACACCCTTGGGAACAACACTGAGGAGGAAATTTTTAGCCTCCATAACCCATCCTTACTCTTGGCAGGAAGAGAAGGCCTCAGGCTCCTCTGCTGGCCCTAACTGGATCCCTCTGGAATCTTATTCCTCATTCTTTCTCCAGCTTCCCCTAAAGTCCAAATGAGCATGACAAATGAAGCTCTGGCACCAACCCTCATCTGCAATGTTGCTGGCTACTATCCTCTGGACATGGTGGTGACATGGATCAGAGAAGAGCTGGAAGGAACCCCAGCCCAAGTCTCTGGTGCCTCCTACTCCAGCCTCAGGCAAAGCATGGCAGGCACCTATAGCATCTCTTCCACCCTGACAGCAGAACCTGGCCCTGCAGGTGCCACTTACACTTGCAAGGTTACCCATATCTCCCTGAAGGAGCCCCTTGAGGCCAGCATGAGGGTTGTCCCACGAACAGGTACTGGAAAAGTGTCCTTCTTTCTCCACCTCCACATTTAGGCTTATAGTTTTCCTGCCTCCAGGTCATCTCTCTGTCCTCGTGCTACTGCCAGTATGCTTTGCTCAGCCCCAGCTTCTTCATGCTCCTAACTTTGCTCCTGACTTTGACCTTCCCAAGGGGGCAACCTCTACCACTTCCACCATACATTCCCCAAGACTTTGTTCCACCCCAACCTGCAGGGTTAATGTGCTTAAGATGGAGATCTAGGCTGAAGGAATCCTGATCCTGACCTCCAAACACTTAGTCCAGCTGGAGAAACAAGTCTAGGCAGACAGGGAAGAGGACCTGGAGGAGGCCCTTGAGTCCAGTTAGCTAGCTTGGGGGGAAAGGGAACACAACAGCATGTGTGAAGGTCAAATTGTAAAACAGCCTACAGATAATTTAGGGACCTAGAAATAGTTCAGCATACCTACAGCTGAGGATATATGGGAAAAAGGGAAGTGGCCCTGAAGCTCCAGAAGCATTTCCAGGAATCAAGCACTGTAAACTTAAATATTAAGTATGATCTTATGTATTACAACCCCCATTTTTATTTATTTATGTATTTGTATTTATTTACTTATACATACATACATACATACATATAGATAGGATCTTGCCGTTTCCCCGGCTGGCTTCAAACTCCTGCACTCAAACTATCCTTCTGCCTCAACACCCACCCCCTAGTAGCTGAGACTACAGGCATGTACCACCATGCTGAGCATTACTCCCATATTATAGATGAGTAAGCTAACACTTGGAGATGTTAAGTAGCTTCCTCAAGGTTGCCTATCAATAAATAGTAAAAGAGAAAATGTGAAAGATAGGCAGGCTGATTCCCCTTACAAGGTTAAACTCTATAATCTCAATGGGCCTTCAAATTGGAACTTCATCCTGAAAGCCACAGAATGTTGAAAGGTTTTAAACAGGGAAGGGGCGGAAAAGAATGTGCACTTTAAAATGCAAACATATGGGAGTGTAGGACATTATTTGGCTGCTCACTACAGTGAGCAAAACAGGTTTTGCCTCAACTCATACCATCCCAGCTACTTAGAAAATCCTAGCTTAACTATAAATGACTAGCCTAAACTCAATTTCACTCAAAAGGCAATTTTTAAAATGTCCTGAGAGGTAAATTTAGTGATGCATGCCTATACTTCCAGAACTTGGGAGGAGAAGGCAGGAGTTTCAAAAGTTTGAAGCCAGCCTGGGCTACATAGGGAGTTCCAGGCCAACATGGGCTGACAGCCAGACCCTCTCAAAAAAAAAAAAGTCCTAAGGTGGAAAGTGGCAGAGAAGTGTGTGCAGAGCAACACATGAACACCTGCCATGTTAAGTAAGTTCAGATGCTTCTGAGTGCATGATCCCAGCTCCTCCACAAGGGACTCACAAACACATACCCATGCTCCTCCTCCCTTTGGGCAGGGGGAACTGGGAGCAAGAGCTCAGCACATGAGATGATTCCTGTCCGTGCTGCTCTCATCCACAGAGAGAATGGTGTTAGGAGTCATCTTTGCCAGCAGCCTCTTCCTTCTTGCACTGTTGTTCCTGGGGCTTCAAAGGCAGCAAGGTGAGTACATGGTCACCCTCAGCTCTGGACCCTGACCCACCTCACTTGTAGGTCAACTCACTCTGAACACCTCCCCACTCAGACCAGGGATGGAACCCAGTTGTTTTCAGTTCTGCATGTAACCCCACCCCCACCAGCCTCCTACTTTGGGGTTAAGAACAAGTGACACCAATCTTGTCCCCTCTGTTTCTTTCTAGCTTCATCACCAAGGTCTGCCAAGACTGAGGCATTCTAGACAGCCACTCTTCAGCCTCCAAGTAAAAAGATGCAGTAGTCACGTTCACGCAGAAGGACTTCACACTGAGGCATGGTGCCGAGAAAGGCCTGAAGGAGGCATCAAGTCTTGGAATGAGGGGCACCAACCCTGGGTCTGTGCAGGCCTCTGCCTTCCTTTACTGTGTCCCTGGGCTGATGAATCAAGGGTGAGAACAGGAACAGGTGAGGTAACAACAGGAGGGCTGAATGACTGAGTGGAGGTTAACACCAAAGGGTCAGATCTGAGGTGGTGGTACAAAAAAGGAACAGGAAGAAAGGGAGAAAGGAGCAAGGAGAGGGCAACAGGGCAAAGGGCTGGGGGCTGAACCACCACTCACAAACTCTGAACTCTGGGAAAATAAAAGCACCTGTGTCCACTGAGGCAAAGATTTCCCACTTTTTTTTTTTCTGTACTAGGGCTTGAATTCAGGTGTTCATGCTTGCTAGGCATGCACTCTACCACTTGAGCCATGTCTCCTGCCTCCATTTTCTTGTCTTTTTCTGTTCTGGTTCCAACTGAGGCCTGTCCCCTGTCCTAGTTGTTCCAACTTGCAGTGTTTAAAGGTGTGAAACAAAGGCCCTCAGAGGCAGGCCGGGGCTCCATCTAGACTGTGTTGTCCTGCAATTAAGGTTTTAATCCTTCAGACAGTTGCCAGAAATTAAGGACACCTACAAACTCTCTCTCCCTTTATTCATTTCTACAATGTGCCTGGTAGATACAGTGGAACGGAGCTAAGCAAAAGAACACTATGCACAGGATGGAGAAAACACATGTGTGTGCAGGATACCTCATCTGGTCAGGTCCCCTGGGAGAGGTCAGAGAGGCTGGAGACTAGCAAAGAGGCAGGTGGGAGAGGCCTGAAAAAGCCTGTGTTGTTTGCCAGTGTGAGGTGCCCACTCAACTTCCTGTCATCACTTCCTCCTTGCACCAGTGCCTGCAAGAGCAGGGCAGCCTCAGGTAAGAGAGATGAAAGCACAGACCACTTCCTCTGCCAACACACAGACCTTTGATCTCCAGGAACACCATAGGGCACACATATAGCCCTTCTGGCAAACGGCAACATTTAATGACACTCCCCCAACCCCCCATTCTCCAACACAGACAACAACCAAGTCAGTAGAGTAGTAGGAATTTGTATTTTTTGCCTTTGTTCAGAGTACATGAAGTTGATCAATGTCACATGCCTTTGATGGAAGTACAAGTGCTTTTACTCTATACAAGTGCGAGATTAGGGTTAGGAAAAAGACAAAGAAGAAATAACAGACACACAATGGAAACCCCACATCATCTCATGGCAAACTGAAGAAGGGGATGTGGGAAGCTCTGCTTCATTTGACTGTAAAGACCTGGGGTTTAGTTGCATATTCGTTCATGCACATGGGTGGTGGGGGAGGGGAGTAGCAAAGACACAGAAGAGGATTCAGGGTGGGGTGAGAAAGAAAGTAGAAGGGCTAATGCTGCCCAAAAAGCAAAGCTAACTACACCTGGTGAGCCTCAGAGAACAGAAACCCAGAAAAAAATAATTCCCATGCTAGGGCTAGCTGGGCCAAGAGGGCGAATTTCCTCCAGGTTTAGGACACATCGAGGACAGTGGTGGTTCTTCTCCAGCGGTGACCCCCTGCATTACGGAAGGAGGAGCCCAGAGGAGAGCAGAGACCTTCGAGGGGGTGTTGGAAAGGAACACGGACTGCTTTCTTCCAACTCTTCAGTCCTGCTCTGGGGCAGGACGAAGGGAACATGGGAAATAGGCGCAAAAGGAAAGGAAGGATGGTTTTGCACAATGAAATGCTGCTTGTATGGAAAGTGGGAATCCAGACCCAGCCTAGCATGGCCTCAGGCTCTTCCTGATTACAGATCAGAGGATGGAAGAAATAAAGGGCTAGAGACATTCCCCTTCCTGTTCTCAGCCTTCCCTCCTCCCCTAGCACCTAGGTTTATCCCATGAAGCATCCTATCCTGAGCTCAGTAATAGCTCCCAAGATAGGCTGAGCAGCTCCCATTCTCAGGTTCCATCATGTTTTCATACACAGTATGGCAACAAGAAGAAAAGAAAGGAAGTGATGGAAATTCACAAGGCTCAAGGTGGTGCAGAGAGGGAATGTTAACACAGGAAGAACAGGAGGCAGCTCTGAATGCAAGTGAGCCATGACAGTACAGCAATGCACAACCACATCTGACAAACTGGCACCCCTCCCGCCCCAAGATTGAGCTGGTGGGTCTGCTGGGCTTTTCTAAATCCTCAGGGTCAGTCAAGGCTCAGGAAATCTCTTGCCTCATCCCTGATTTAGACAAGTACACAGGGGTGGTGGGGAGGAAAGGATTCCATGGGAGCCTAAAAACTGCACTTCTATCATCCTCACCTTCCTTTATCAACAGAAAGGGAAAACGGGACCTTCCTTAACGAGAGGGCAAGAAAGGGTTTCCTGAAAGCTTGTTATTTTCAAATCAGGCCCCTGACTTACTGCTTCTCTATAACACAAATTCCCTCTTTATGCCAGAAATTAAAATTAACTAAGAGTCCCACACTTTGACTAGATGAAAAGATTTGGTGCCCTCAACAATACAGGGAGAAATGACCCAAGCATTGTATGCACATATGAATAATAAAACAATAAAATAAATAAATAAATAAATAAATAACAATACAGAAGGCTGAAGAAAACATGAAGCAACAGCTCCTTCCAGTAAAAATAAATGGGAAAGCTTCTAGGAAAGAAATGAGGGTTTCCCACTTACTATTGTAAAAAAAAAAAAAAAAAAAAAAGTGCTTATTTTTCTGGCCTATGGAGAACAAAGTAAAAGGTTGGAAGATCCCCACAGAGAGAAATTCTCAAATTAAAAGATTAAGAACTTAAAAAAACACTTTTGACTTTCTAAAAGGGAAACAAGAACAAAATTGGCCCTTGAGTGGCCTCCAGGACCCTCTACAGGCCTGGCATAGTAGAAAAGTTGCAAGTGAGGGCAGCTGAGAATAAGCCACCACTTCTCCAACTGTTCATAGTCCCCTCTTGCAGCAGCCTGGCCTTTCTAGGAGACACCATGGGCTCTCCCCTCAACCTAGCCAGCTTCTAGTGCACTTCACCTCAGCCACTGCTTTTCCCCTCCCTTGGCTGACAAATCTTCTCAGCTTACAAGAACCTGAGCATATATAGGAGGTAGGGAGGAGGTGCCAGCTGTTGCTCTTCTGGTAGTGACTTCAAGACTGCACCACGAGCAGCATTTCTAGTGCTGAGGGACAGAGTGCAAATGAATGCAACAGAAAAGGAGGAATGGATGGAGAAGGCTAGGCTGGGATGGAGGAAGGCAAATGGGGGAGTATGTTGGCAGAGCAAACAGAGGGAAAAGGACATGAGCTTAGATGGCAATGGAGAATAGGGAAGGGGTGGTACATTCTCAAGTAAAAAAGTAGACTGGACACAGGAATCAGGAAGTCCCAGACAGAGAAGAAAAAGAGACAGGAGAAAACAAGAGGGCAAATTATATCAAGTTACTAGACATTCAGATCTCTGCTACAGGTGCCCCAACCCAAGGTTTCCCTTTGACCCAAACCAGTGACAAACTGCACAGCCCTGCTTCCTCAGAACAGGAGGGGCCATCTCCCCACAATGCCTTGCAGGGGGAAGGCTTATCTGTCAAGGAAGTTCCCCATCTTTGCCCTTCCTCCCAAACCAGATGATCCCACAGCAGCAGTCTCCATACCTCAGTCAGAGCAGCCCCACTCCCCAGGCAGGCAGGCAGGCAGGCAGGGCTGGGAGAAGACTCCAGGACCTTCCCACCTCTTCACCCCATCAGCAACCTCAGCGATACTTACTTACAATAACTACCACGATGATGGCACAGATAGCTCCCAGCATGATCATCATCTGAGGAAACATGGACAAACTGTGAGTCCTTAGACTTGGGAAGGAGGGAAGGAACCAGGACCAGAGATGTGGGAACAGAACTTCTTCCATCCTGGGGACAGTGAAAGAAACCATCCATCCCCCAGGTGACCTGCAGGCCTCTCAGTGAAGTTCCAATACTCCACAGGATGATAGCCCCAGCACCATATCTGTATCCTTTTTTTTTTTTTAATTCCTGTTGAATGGTGTTTTAAAAGTGAAAAGGTAGACTTTGGGTTTCTAGCCATTCAAGTATGTTTTCAGGGCAAAGCATGTGGTGCATTCCCAAATGTTCCAAGTATTTGTGTGTGTGTGTGTGTGTGTGTGTGTGTGTGTGTGTATCAGAACTACTGTGTTGCTGTTGGATGTGTCTTAGAAAGGGTTTGGTGAGAATTGTGCAGAAGATTACAGGTGGAAAAACTTACTTCACTAACCATACTAAACTCCTCTTTGATACCATTATCTCAGTTAGTTGTCTAATACTGTAGCCTACCCTAGTGACCAAAACAGGTAATGCATCTCAAGGAGGCGGCTTTCAGAACCTCCAAGAACCATGCAGGGTATCTCTACCATTAGATGGATCTCTCCATTAGACGAAAACAATGTAGAAGCTACCTGGTTTTCTTGCCTTCTACAAATGAGACCCAGGAATAGAAGAAGGAGAAAATAAAGAAATTCACCTTGCAGTTTTTCCACCAGTACTTCCTTTTTAGCTTGGCAGCACTGCTCTCAAATTGTGATGCTCCTGCCTGCAAGGCATCAGCTCGGTCATCCAGTTCTGACAACTTCTGGTCCCTCTCCAGAACCTTGTCCACATTTACACGCATGATGTCCACTACCTAAGGGAGGTACAAAAACAAAGCTCCTCTTAGGACAGGAGGAAGAACAGTGACTTGGAGATGACAAGTCTGGACTCATGTAACTCAAAGGGATGCTTTGCCTTACAGAGCCTTCAACTCTCCCTGTTAGAAAGAGGAAAACAGACAAGATGTTTCCTTGTTTCTAAACTTCTACAGGTTGGAAACTCTTAAAAAATGGCTAATCACCTACCTCCTCCACTTGTGCCTGGGTTTGCTGTAGTCGTCTGTTACTGGTCATGTTAGGAGGTGGGCCAGGGGGGCCTCCTCCTGGGGCATTCCCTTCTGCCCCTTCAGTAGGTGGCTGAGCTGGAGCAGACCTGCAGAGACAAGTGGACAGAGCACACAAAGTTACCAGGACAAGAAAAGAATCACCTGTATTCTCACCACATACCACAAAATAATTATGATTAGGTTATATACATATAGAAGGGATTCTAGCTTTTAGCAATCCTAAATAGGGAGATAGAGCATGGAGTCAAGGAATAAAAGATGAAACATTCTGTAGCAACATTTAGATGGGGCTCAGAATGTCATTAAGAAACTTTATCCTGAGTACTGATGGTTCAAGCCTATAATCCTAGCTACTTAGGAGGCAGAGATCAGGAGGATCATGGTTTGAACCCAGCCTGGGCAAATAGTTCCCAGGACCATGTCTCAAAAATACCCAACACAAAAAGGGCTGGCAGACTTGCTCAAGTAGTAGAGGACATGCACAGAGAGAGTACAGTGAATTCAAATCTGAGTATCACCAAAATAAAAAATAAAAAAAAGAGAGTGAGAAATTTTGTTTAGAAGTCAGGCATGATAGAAAGAACATGCATGTAATCTCAGCACTCAGGAGGTTGAAGCAGGAAAATAGTGAGTTCAAAGCCAACCTGGGATATATATCAAAACCTTGTATAAAAAAAAGAGATATAATGTTTGGGGTTATTCTCTGACCCAAACTCAAGGACATCCTCCAGAACGATTGCCATAGGGACAAATGTGCCATCCTTGGCATAAATGACATTTTCCTGGCTGCTAGAAGCCTCTCACATGAAATAAAATGGAAAAACCCTAGCCACAGCAAGATAAATTTATGGAAAACACTATGTTCTCAGGACAAGCCTATGAACTGAACTACAAAGCTTGGATAGAAAAGGAAGGGGAAAGCTGACAATCTCTACTTATGAAGATTCAGTTCCTGGTTAAGTTTCACAGTGATTACCATGTCAGGGCTGCTGTAAGAACAACTTGGAGGATCACCAAAGGCAAAGTCTTTGTAGGTGGAGTGAGTCAGGATTGTTTGCACTGTTTTTGGCAGAGAAGGTAGGGGTTTCACTTAGATTGAATCTGGGATTCAAAGCAATTATCTTAGTTATGGAAACAGTTCCAAGAGCATAGACAAGAAGCAAAAATGCTAGAAACAGTCCTCAATGTACAACCATCAGAGACTTTCTGTCCCTTCTTTTTCAAGATTTGGCAATCTCAAGAGACTCCACTAACCCCCTACATCTCAATGAAAAATCCTGGTCTATACTATTATATACATGGAGGCTGTTTTCTCTTTTAGGACCATTCAAGGCTAAGGACTCCCTTAACCTTAGGAGAGAATAATTTAGTGTGGAGTCTTCAAGATAGATTTCTCTCCAAATCCCAATACATGGAGTTTAAATTTACCTGATAAAGAATTTCAGGTGATGAAATGACTCAAATGATAGAACACCTGCCTAGCAAGCAAAAGGTCCTGAGTTCAAACCCCAGTACCACCAAAAAGAGAGACAGACAGACAGAAGGAAAAGAGGAAGAATTCCCAGAAGTTTAACGTAAGGAATAAGATCTTCTTTGCCAAAGAAAAAAGCTATAGGCAGGGTGGGGGAGATCTCTAAGATTAATGGAGAACAGAAATTCCCTGAAGAACTCTTCAAAGACAATCCCACCACCCTCACCAAATACCCTCACCAAAGCAGTACAAGAATAAATGCACTAGAGGTTAGACCATCAAAAGGCACCAGAAAGGAAACTCCTTGACTAATCACAATGGAACTAACACCTAGAAGCTCCTCTTCCTTAATTAGGTAAAATTATTTTAGTCTAAAAATAACAATAACCCTCAGAGAGGCTATACTAGCAGATTACATGGATTTGGCCCCATTTTAAGGAATCTCTTCCTCATTTCTTTCCAAGGGAAAAAAGAAAAAAGCCACAAGACTGTGCTGCTACTGAGCTAGCTAAGCAATCTAGTTCTAGACTGAAGGCATAAATTTCAATGAGTAGGTAGCAGCCAGTGTTGGAAGCAGTCCCGGATGGTAGCACCAATGACAAGATTAAGGTCAGAGACCTTGTGATTCCCTGCTAGCCACCATATTTTCTTCACCTCCACAGATCATCCTACATGGATGCTATCTGGAGCCAATCAGCTAAAAAGGATCTGCCTTCCCAGAATGAAAACAACTGCAATCCTGGGGCTTGTCCAAAATACACAGACTGCCAACTATAGTTAAAACTTCAAAGCTCAAAAGAGAAAAAGTGAAATGTGACAAAGCTTTGAGGGCTCACTTCACTTATTACTTGTTGGCAGTTGGAAACACTCACCAGTAACATATCCAGGGAGACTAATAAGCCTTATGTAACACAAGTAAATCTTTCCCCTTTTTGCTGAGAGAAGCAATACAAATACATCTAGGACCAACCATGGCTTCTAGCAGTAATCAGAAAGAAAAACTCTATTAAACATATTGTGGTCCTACAGGGAAGTATTTAATTCATCCAGCAACAGTTCTTCCTGGAGACCTTAGAAGGACGAGGACGTTGAAGGTAAGTTGGAGAATCAACTGTACATGTTGGAGACAGGGGAAATGCTCTATTCTCCCAATTTCTCCTCCAAAAGCTTGGCCAGGATTTGATGACACTGAAGGACCTCCTACCCTGGTTTCCTTTGATGCACAGCTGCATGGGATCACACGCCACAGCCCCTTGAGTCTTTCTGGGCTGCCCACCCGGAGACACAGAACTGGCAGATAAGTTTCTGCAGCTTTGCTCGCTGCCCTCAGGGATACATCACATTTGGATGAGGGGCATATACAAATGGAGAGACTGCAGGGCAATCCGTGTTACTAACTGGCAGGTGCACCCATGACAGTCTCTCCAGAAGCTCTAAGGGCAGATTCAGCCCGACGACAAGAAAGGGTCTCCGAATCCCCTTCTGTCCCATGCCCCCCCACACACGCCCTCTCTGGGGTTCCACTATACCAGGACCAGAATGAAACACCACGCAAAGGAGAAGGTGCAATGAATGTGGGTCATGTGCGACCCTGACCCGCACGTGGGGTGCCAGCTGTGCCTACTGTGGGAATGGAGTGCTGTCCCCCTCCCAGGGATGGCCCAGTTTGGGGGCGGCGGGAGGTGGTGGTTCTCCGCGTCGCCGCAGCTGCTGCAATGCGCCATTTTCCGTCGCGCAGAGTCCGGCGGTGAGGGTGAGAGTTGGCCAGGAGGCGTCGAGCTCTCTACACCAGAGTCAACTCACATTTTTCTGACAAAAGGAGTGGCGAGTCCGTCTCCCCTCCGGACGCTGCGGCGGGTCACTCGGCGGGAAGACGCTGCGGCTGAAGTGGACGGAACCGCAGAGCTCCGCCTCTGGCTTACCACCCGGACTTCTAGCTGTGGTGGAACTTAGCTGCAGCTGCCCTGCCGGCCCCCGGCTTTATTAGCGGTGGCCCCGCCTCCTGGGTACAGATAACCCCGATGTCCAATCCTCGTCCAGAATAGCCTCCAAGTCCTTGAGTCCTGCCCGCCCACGGTCCTGAAGATTTACCAATCACCAATCTCAGTCGGACCGGATCTTTCACTGACCGGTCTTCACTGACCAATACGACTGTAGTTTGCTTACCTGTCTAGGTTGAGGTGCAGGTACGGCCCAGCCCTCTAGGGGGCGGACTCAAAAGTTTGAGTTAGGCTTTTTTTTTTGTGTGTGCCTCCCAACGAATCGCTGACCTGGCGGCTCCAGCCAATCACAGAGCTCCGGCTGGCCTGAACGAACTCTTATCGCCTGGACTCACGACTGCTATGGCAGGCGGTAGGTAGGTGTCGCGATTCGATCCTACCGAAACTAAAACGAAGTCTTTGTTCATTCGTTTCTTTCAATGTAGTCTATCTTAAATTCATCTTCACCCCGAAACCTGCCCCTCTTATCATTCCAGGTAGATTGCCACATCGACTTTGTTATCCAGACCAGAAACCTGGAGGCCATCCTTGATTTCGCCCTTTTTGTCTTTACTCCAGTAAATCACCAAGTCGGTTTTTCCTTCCTAATACTGCATCAATTCTCTTCTCTCTTCGCACCATTATCCCCTTCCTACACATCAGTTGTAAAACACCATTATTTTGTGCTAGCTTTAAAAATAAAAGAATACCAATAAATTGTCACTGTATTTTCTTACCACCTAGTTTTATCTTACATTGAAAACTTAGATTTATATGCATATAAATTTTTATAGTTCACTCTCATACATACCTAAAAATGAAAAATTTTTAAAGAATAACAGTAACTTTATACCTACAACTTAACATTCAGAGACTGATACTCTAGGGGTTTTGGATGGTTGGTTGGTTTGGTTTTTTGAGACCAGAATCTGGCTTTGTAGCCTAGGCTGGCTTCAAACTCACTATGCAACTCCAGCTGGCCTTGAACTCTCCATCGTCTTGCCTCGGTGTCCCCAGTGCTGGGATTATGTGTGCACCTCTTTGCCTGGCTCTTAGATTGATTCTCCCTCCAACCTTACCAAACCCTCCCTGTACTGGGGTTCTCAACTCAGGGCTTTGCACTTGCTAGGCAGATGCCTTACCACTAGAGCCACACCTCCAGCCCTCAGACTGATTCTCAATGATTCATGTTTTGGACTCCGTTTTAGATGTCCATGAATTGTCCATGAATTGCTTCAGATTCATTTTTCAAGTTTTAATGTTTATGAGCAGATACGACAGATACAGTATAACTACTGTGATTAGTAGCTATAGTGAAACATCCCAATTTAGGAGATGATAAAATGCCAAAAGAAAGGAAAAAGTAAGTGGATCCTACAAACAATGGGATATAATACACAGCTTCCAGTCTTGCTCTCCCTCCTATCCATCCTATAGAAGCCACTAACGTAACCTATCCAATATCACAATCCTGCTTAAAACTCTTAAGCAATTGCTCTTAAAAGCATAATGTATTGGTCCCTCTCTTCCCACTCCAGAGAGGGCCTGCTTTCACTCAATTAAAAGTGTACTCCTTTCCTAATAAACTTTACCATCACTTTCACAACATTTCCTCCTCTGGCCTAAATTCTTTTCTCTAAAAAAGTGTAATGTGTGAAAAATCTATTTATCTCATGCTCTTCCTAAAATCACATCAAAATGACAATTTTTAAAAAATGGAAGCAGTGCATAAGCCCTCCAAGACAAACAGAACTGGAGGAAATGTTTCTGGCAGTATGAATGCCTAAGTATCGGCACCAACTCTCTCTTGAAAGAATTTTAAGATGCTGGGGTCTTCAAAAATCGAAACTTTTTTAACATTTTATTTTCAAATGCGTATAGGAGACCAAGACAAGAACAACACAAAAAGGTACAGAGAAGTTCTCCTATATTCCTTCACCCAATTCTCCCTGTGGTAATAAAATCAGACATTTGAATCACATGCCCAAAACTCATATTTGGGCTTCCATATGTCAGGGCTGGCCACTCATCCCTATGTTCCAAATAAAGAGACATTATGATGAAGGGCAGAGAAAGGAGATTTATTACACAGCTCAAGACACTCTGTGGAAAGAGGCACATCTTCAGCCAATTTCAAGGTACAGATATGAGCTTTAGGTTTAAATAGAAAAAGAATTAGGGCAGGGAACAAAAAAGTATGCATAGTTAAACAGTCCAGTCACAGGTGTGGCCTTATTCTTTAGGGGTTCCAGAGAAGTTGTTACCCAAGACATTGTCACCTGGCAGGTAATCTATCCTGAGGAGGCGCTCCTGTTAGAAGTAGTTTCCATTCCTTGTCATAGAGATGTTATCAGTTCTGTCCTTCCCAGAACCCAAGATGATTGTAAAGTGACTGCAGAGAGAATAGCTTAGAAAGACAAATGCAAAATGAAGGCAGGGATGCCTTCATTTATCCTGCTTTTAGTTAACTGTGGGTCCAAGTAAGGAGTGCAGTGCTTTTCAGCAAAAGTAGTTTAAGCACCTCTTACAGTAACAGCTTATAAAAATACACTACACTGTTAAAATCCCAGAGTTTATTCAGAACTCACTAGTTTTACATATACTCGTTTATGGTATCGGGGAGGGGTGTGTGTGTGTGTGTGTGTGTGTGTGTGTGTGTGTAGTTTTGTGCCATTAGGATACAGAACTATTATCTTACTACAAGACTTCCTCATCCTGTATAGCCACCCCCCATCCCTAACCATTACCAACACTAATTTCTTTTCCATCTCTATAACTTTATTTCAAGAGTGTTATATAAATGTAACCATATAGTATATAACTCTTTGAAGTTGGCTTTTTTTCACTCATTGTAATGCCATTGAGATCCATCCAAATTATTATATCAGTAGTTTTCACTGCTGAGTAGTATTCCATTTTGTTTAACCATTTGCCTGCTGATAGTTTGCTTTTGCACCTCTGTCAAAAGTCAGTTGGAGGAGGCTGGAACATGGTTCAAGTTGTAGAGCATAGCACCTGTCTAGCAAGCACAAAGCCCTAAGTTCAAACCCTAGTACACACGCACACATGTGTGTGTGTGTCAGTTCAAGGGGCTGAGAATGTATGTAGCTCAATGGTAAAGTGGGGGCCTAGCATGTGCAAAGCCCTGGGTTTGAATCCCAGCACTGAAAAGAAAGTCAATTAGATGCATTTGCATGGGTCTATTTTAGGGTTCTCCATTCAGTTCCACTGACCTATGTGTTTATCCTTCTGTCTTTATTACTGTAGCTGTATAGTAAGCCTCATCATTGAGAAGAGTTACTTCTTCCACTTTGTTCTTCTATTTCACAATTGCTTTAGCAGGTTCAGGTCCTTTGTTTGGAGATGGGGTCTTGCTATTTTTCCAGAATGGTCAAGAGATACACTCAACCTCCTGAGTGCTGGGATTACATCCACAGGGCATTTTAAACATATTCGTGAGTTGACAAGAAAGCAAAGACTGTCTAAAGACGATAAATAAGTGACAGCCGGTACTCAGAGAGGTAACTGAAGGTGAATTTGACCATGGTGACCTCACAGGGTGCACCTGTAGCATAGGAAACAAAGCACAGGCCTTCTAATAGAAATCCCTACATGAGCTGGTGGAATGGCTCAAGGGAAGAGTGCCTGCCTAGCAAGCACAAGGCACTGAGTTCAAAACCCAGTATCACCAAAAAGAAATCCCTACATGAAGCTGGAACCCCAAAGGCTACATCTCATTTAGAGTGGATTTTTTTTAAAGTTAGCACCAAACCGCCCCTAGAGAACCTCATAGCAAACCACCTGGAAACTAGGTAATGACTGGACCCTTTGTATTTTTTCCTTTAAATATTTGCAGAGAATTTATAACCTCAAGCTGTGTTTTTCTTTTCCTGCCTGAATTTGTTGTTCTCTTTTGAATGCGTTTCATATCTCTTCTTCCTAAAAACAAGATGACAAGAATCAAGAGTGGTTTGGGGTTGATAGTACCACAAAGCACCTGGTAGAAGCAGGCAAAACCTCCTTGGATGAACATCTTCAATCTAGGCCTTGGGGAATTTCCAGACACAGTTCCAAGAGAAGTAAGTTGTGGCCCCAAACTGAAAATAAACATGGAAGAAAGTGCCAAGAGTAAGAACCAGTAGAGACAGAGACAGGAATTAAGGAAATTAGATAATCAAGCCAAACAGTCTAGTGCCTGATTAATAAAGGATCTAAAAGGAGAAAGCAGGATATATGACAGAAGGCGTGTATGTGAGATTGAATATAGAAGTACACTGGCAGTTTCCTAAATTGAATGAGCCTTTCCAGATCAAACAGTTTGCTGTGTCTGGTACAATGAAAGAAAGAGAATCACATCGAGACACTTCTTTCTGCAGAACAGAGAAGAGAGGATCCTAAAATCTTTCAAAAAGAGAATTAAGATGAAGATTTTTATGGTACTGAGGTTTGAACTCAGGGCCTCACAACTTGCTAGGCAGGTGCTCTGCTACATGAGCCATTCTGCCAGCTCAAAAACCAAATAAAACTGAAACAGGAATCAGAATGGCATCACAATACAAGATTAGGAGACAATGTGACAGTGCCTTTAAAATTCTGGGAAAAAAAGAGTATTAACCTAGAATTCTATAACAAACAAACTATTAATAAAAGATGACGGTATCTGAATGTGGTATAATCTCAGCACTGGGAAGGTTGATGTGGGAGGATCACTTGAGGCCGGAAGTTCAAGTCCAGATTAAGCACCATAGCGAGACTCTTTCTCAAAAAAAAAAAGAAGGTAAGCCAGGTACTGATGGCTCATGCTTATGATCCTAGCTATTAGGAAGCTGAGATCAGGAGGATCGAGGTTTGAAGCCAGCCCAGGCAAATAGATCAAGACACACCAATCTTCAAAATAACCAGAGCAAAATGGTCTGGAGGTGCAACTAAAGCACTAGACCATGTGCTTTGCAAGCAGGAAGCTCTGAGTTCAAACCGCAGTTCCACAAAAAAAAAAAAAGAGGGTAAAATAAAGACATTTTTCAAATGTATGAGAGTCAAAAGTTTTATACCCCTTTCTAAGTAACCTACTACCAGATGGATTCTGGTGCATAGGAAAGAGAAAGTCAGTACATCTAGAACCGACACACAAAACTGGTGAAAAAAAATGCTCAGAATGGAAGCTACAGCACAGATATAGAAACAAGCTGTACTGACAGAATCAGTCCATCAACCAATAAATGGATAAATTTAATGTGCTATATTCATTTGCTGGAATATTGTTTGGCAAGAAAAGAGGAATAAAGTACGAATACATGTTACAACAAAGTGAACCTTGAAAGCACTGTGCTAAATGAAAGAAGCCAGTCTCAAAGGGTCACATATTGTATGACACAGCTGATATGAAATACCCAGAATAAGAAAGCATATAAAGTGGATTTGTACTGTCTAGAAATGAGGGGAGGGGGTAATTGGGAGTGATGAGTAAGAAGTGTGGAATTTCATTTTCGGGTGATGATGAAAATTTTCTAAAATTTTTTATTGTTGTGATGGATGCACAGCTCTATGAATACACAACAAGCTACTGAAATTGGTGAATTGTATGGTGTATAAATTATAGCCCAATAAAGACAAAAATATTTTAAAAAGAAACAAAAATCTCACAATATATGCAGCTCAGTAATAAAATTTATAAAGTCCTGATAATGTAAATACTGTCCATTGATTTAAGCCAAATTCATGACATACCTACAATAAAGAGGAATGAGGGGTGGGCTGTAAGAAAAAACAAAGGGAAGGTATATAAATCCAGTTTCCTGACAAGATGAGTAATTCATACGGGTCATAGATTTTCTCTTCCAAAATCAAAGCTGGAGAATCTATAGAAGCTGCAAAGACTCATGAATGTCCACAACTACCAACAACAGCACGAGAATGCCTGGGAAAATGAAGGATATTGTTAGGAGTTGACTTGTGTCCTCCAAAAAGTCATGTGTTGGATCCCTAAACCCCAGTATTTCCTAATGTGGCCTTACTTGCAAATAAGGTTATTGCAAATGTAACTAGTTAAACTGGGGTCATGCCGAAGGAGTCTGCGCCTCTAATTCAGTATGACTGGTGTATTTTGAAAATGGGGATATCTGTGCCTTGTGACAATGAAGGCAGAGATCAAGGCAATGTGTCTACAAGCTAAGGAACACCAAAGACTGTAGCAAACCACCACAAGTTAGGACAGAGACACAAGCAGATTCTCCCTCACAGTCCTCAGAAGGACTAACCTTGCCAACACCTTGATCTGACTTCTAGCCTGTGCAACTATCAGACAATAAACTTCTGTTGGTTAAGGAACCCAACCTGTGTTACTTTGTTAAAGCAGACATAGCAAGCTAATACAGCCTTTATATAATACAGCTTACAATATATAAATATATAGTTAGTTAGTTAATTTATTTCCAGGACATCCTGGGCTACCTAGAAAGACCCTCTAGAAAAAAAAAGTCATAAGGTGGATAGGGGCAGAGAACTCTGTGTGGAGTAATACATGAACACCTGATCACCTTAAAAATGTTCAGATGCTTCTATGTGCATGATCCCAGCTCCTCCACAAGGGACTCACAAACACATACCCATGCTCCTCCTCCCTTTGGGCAGGGGGAACTGGGAGCAAGAGCTCAGCACATGAGATGATTCCTGTCCAAGCTGCTCTCATCCACAGAGAGGAGAATGGTGTTAGGAGTCATCTTTGCCAGCAGCCTCTTCCTTCTTGAACTGTTGTTCCTGGGGCTTCAAAGGCAGCAAGGTGAGTACCTGGTCAACCTCAGCTCTGGACCCTGACCCACCTCACTTGCAGGTCAACCCACTCTGAGCACCTCCCCACTCAGACCAGGGATGAAGCCCTGTTGTCTTGTTCCACATGTCCCTCTATTCCCACCAGCTTCCTCCTGCTTTGAGGGTTAGCCCAAGTGAAGCCAATCTTGTCCCCTCTGTTTGTTCCTAGCTTTATCACCAAAGTCCGCCAAGACTCTGATGCACTCTAGATAGCTATTCTTCAGCCTCCAAGTAAAAAGATATATAGTCATGTTCTCCCAGAAGGAACTTACACTGAGGCATGGAGCTGAGAAAGGCCTGAAGGAAGCACCAGGTCTTGGAATGAGGGGCACAAAACTTGGGCCTCTACCTTCATTTACTGTGTCCCTGGGCTGAAAAATCAAGGGTAAGAATGGGAACAGATGAGGGAACAACGGGAAGGCCTAATGACTTCCTGAGGTTAACACCAAAGGGTCAGATCTGAGGTGGTGGTACAAAAAGAGAAAAAGAAGAAAGGGAAAAAGGAGCAAGTAAGAGGCAACAGGGCAAAGGACTGGGGGCTGAACCACCACTCACAAACTCTGAACTCTGGGAAAATAAAAGCACCTGTGTCCACTGAGGCAAATATTTTTCCATTATCTTTTTTTTTTTTTCTTATACTGGGGCTTGAACTCAGGGCTTCATGCTTGCTAGGCATGCACTCTACCACTTGAGCCATGTCTCCTGCCTCCATTTTCTTGTCTTTTTCTGTTCTGGTTCCAACTGAGGCCTGTCCCCAATCCTAGCTGCTCCAACCTGCAGTGTTTAAAGGTGTGAAGCAAAGGCCCTCAGAGGCAGGCTGGGGCTCCATCCAGACTGCTCTGTGTAGTCCTGCAATTAAGGTTTTAATCCTTCAAAGACTTGTCAGGAATTTCAGGACACCTATAAACTCTCTCTCCGCTTACTCATTTCTACAATGTACCTGGTTGATACAGTGGAACGGAGCTAAGCAAAAGAACACTATGCAAAGGATGATGGAAAAAACGCATGTGTGTGCTGGATGCTTCATCTGGTCAGGTCCCCTGGGAGAGGTCAGAGAGGCTGGAGACTAGCAAAGAGGCAGGTGGGAGAGGCCTGAAAAAGACTGTGTTGTTTGCCAGTGTGAGGTGCCCACTCAACTTCCTGTCATCACTTCCTCCTTGCACCAGTGCCTGCAAGAGCAGGGCAGCCTCAGGTAGGACAGATGAAAGCACAGACCACTTCCTCTGCCAACACACAGACCTTTGATCTCCAGGAACACCATAGGGCACACATATAGCCCTTCTGGCAAACGGCAACATTTAATGACACTCCCCCAACCCCCATACTCCAACACAGACAACAACCAAGTCAGTAGAGTAGTAGGAATTTGTATTTTTTGCCTTTGTTCAGAGTACATGAAATTGATCAATGTCACATGCCTTTGATGGAAGTACAAGTGCTTTTACTCTATACAAGTGCGAGATTAGGGTTAGGAAAAAGACAAAGAAGAAATAACAGACACACAGTGGAAACCCCACATCATCTCATGGCAAACTGAAGAAGGGGATGTGGGAAGCTCTGCTTCATTTGACTGCAAAGATCTGGGGTTTAGTTGCATATTCGTTCATGCACATGGGTGGTGGGGGAGGGGAGTAGCAAAGACACAGAAGAGGATTCAGGGTGGGGTGAGAAAGAAAGTAGAAGGGCTAACACGAAGCTAACTACAAAAAAATCAACAGCCAACTACACCTGGTGAGCCTCAGAGGAACAGAAACCCAGAAAAAAATAATTCCCATGCTAGGGCTAGCTGGGCCAAGAGGGAAAATTTGCTCCAGTCTTAGGGCGCATCCAGGACAGTGGTGGTTCTTCTCCAGCGGTGACCCCCTGCATTATGGAAGGATTTGCTCAGAGGAGAGTGAAGACCTTCAAGGGGGTGTTGGAAAGGTACACTGACTGCTTTCTTCCAGCTCTTCAGTCCTGCCCTGGGGAAGGGTGAAGGGTATGTGGGAAATAGGCTCAAAGGGAAAGGAAGGATGGTTTTGCACAATGAAATGCTGCTTGTATGGAAAGTGGGAATCCAGACCCAGCCTAGCATGGCCTCAGGCTCTTCCTGATTACAGATCAGAGGATGGAAGAAATAAAGGGCTAGAGACATTCCCCTTCCTGTTCTCAGCCTTCCCTCCTCCCCTAGCACCTAGGTTTATCCCATGAAGCATCCTATCCTGAGCTTAGTAATAGCTCCCAAGATAGGCTGAGCAGCTCCCATTCTCAGGTTCCATCATGTTTTCATACACAGTATGGCAAGAAGAGGAAAAGAAAGGAAGTGATGGAAATTCACAAGGCTCAAGGTGGTGCAGAGAGGGAATGTTAACACAGGAAGAACAGGAGGCAGCTCTGAATGCAAGTGAGCCATGACAGTACAGCAATGCACAACCACATCTGACAAACTGGCACCCCTCCCGCCCCAAGATTGAGCTGGTGGGTCTGCTGGGCTTTTCTAAATCCTCAGGGTCAGTCAAGGCTCAGGAAATCTCTTGCCTCATCCCTGATTTAGGCAAGTACACAGGGGTGGTGGGGAGGAAAGGATTCCATGGGAGCCTAAAAACTGCACTTCTATCATCCTCACCTTCCTTTATCAACAGAAAGGGAAAACGGGACCTTCCTTAACGAGAGGGCAAGAAAGGGTTTCCTGAAAGCTTGTTATTTTCAAATCAGGCCCCTGACTTACTGCTTCTCTATAACTAACACAAATTCCCTCTTTATGCCAGAAATTAAAATTAACTAAGAGTCCCACACTTTGACTAGATGAAAAGATTTGGTGCCCTCAACAATACAGGGAGAAATGACCCAAGCATTGTATGCACATATGAATAATAAAACAATAAAATAAATAAATAAATAAAAAACAATACAGAAGGCTGAAGAAAACATGAAGCAACAGCTCCTTCCAGTAAAAATAAATGGGAAAGCTTCTAGGAAAGAAATGAGGGTTTCCCACTTACTATTGTAAAAAAAAAAAAAAAAAAAAAAAAAAGTGCTTATTTTTCTGGCCTATGGAGAACAAAGTAAAAGGTTGGAAGATCCCCACAGAGAGAAATTCTCAAATTAAAAGATTAAGAACTTAAAAAAACACTTTTGACTTTCTAAAAGGGAAACAAGAACAAAATTGGCCCTTGAGTGGCCTCCAGGACCCTCTACAGGCCTGGCATAGTAGAAAAGTTGCAAGTGAGGGCAGCTGAGAATAAGCCACCACTTCTCCAACTGTTCATAGTCCCCTCTTGCAGCAGCCTGGCCTTTCTAGGAGACACCATGGGCTCTCCCCTCAACCTAGCCAGCTTCTAGTGCACTTCACCTCAGCCACTGCTTTTCCCCTCCCTTGGCTGACAAATCTTCTCAGCTTACAAGAACCTGAGCATATATAGGAGGTAGGGAGGAGGTGCCAGCTGTTGCTCTTCTGGTAGTGACTTCAAGACTGCACCACGAGCAGCATTTCTAGTGCTGAGGGACAGAGTGCAAATGAATGCAACAGAAAAGGAGGAATGGATGGAGAAGGCTAGGCTGGGATGGAGGAAGGCAAATGGGGGAGTATGTTGGCAGAGCAAACAGAGGGAAAAGGACATGAGCTTAGATGGCAATGGAGAATAGGGAAGGGGTGGTACATTCTCAAGTAAAAAAGTAGACTGGACACAGGAATCAGGAAGTCCCAGACAGAGAAGAAAAAGAGACAGGAGAAAACAAGAGGGCAAATTATATCAAGTTACTAGACATTCAGATCTCTGCTACAGGTGCCCCAACCCCAAGGTTTCCCTTTGACCCAAACCAGTGACAAACTGCACAGCCCTGCTTCCTCAGAACAGGAGGGGCCATCTCCCCACAATGCCTTGCAGGGGGAAGGCTTATCTGTCAAGGAAGTTCCCCATCTTTGCCCTTCCTCCCAAACCAGATGATCCCACAGCAGCAGTCTCCATACCTCAGTCAGAGCAGCCCCACTCCCCAGGCAGGCAGGCAGGCAGGCAGGGCTGGGAGAAGACTCCAGGACCTTCCCACCTCTTCACCCCATCAGCAACCTCAGCGATACTTACTTACAATAACTACCACGATGATGGCACAGATAGCTCCCAGCATGATCATCATCTGAGGAAACATGGACAAACTGTGAGTCCTTAGACTTGGGAAGGAGGGAAGGAACCAGGACCAGAGATGTGGGAACAGAACTTCTTCCATCCTAGGGACAGTGAAAGAAACCATCCATCCCCCAGGTGACCTGCAGGCCCCTCCGTGAGGTACCAAGCCTATGCTTCCACTGAATCATAACCCTACCACCATGTCCACAGCTTTTTGAAAGCAGAAGAGGCTCTGAAGCTGGCTCTTCTCTGTTTAGCTACGGTTGCCTGGGATTTTAAAAGTGGAAATGCAGACTTTGGATCTCACACTTTGTTGGTTTTCGGGATAGAGTGTGGTGCATTCCCAAATATTGCAGGTATACATGTATATACATATACACATAGAGATAGACTAGAGGAAGGGTTAGGTGAGAATTGTGCAGGAGATTACAGGTGGGAAAAGCTACTTCACTAACCATGCTAAACTCTTTTTTTTTCTCAATTAGTTGTCTAACACTCTAGCCCACCCTGGTGGTCAACTCAGGTAATACTCTGCAGGAGGAGGCTTTCAGATTCCATCCCAAGAACCATGCAGGACAGAAATCCATTAGAGGAAAAGAATGTAGAAGCTATCTGTTTTTCTTGCCTTCTACAAGTGAGAATCAGTAATAGAAGAAGGATAAAACAGAGAAATTCACCTTGAAATTTTTCCACCAATACTTCCTGTTTAGCTCTGCAGCTCTGCTCTCAAACTGTTCTGATTTTTTCCGTAACTCATCAGCTCGGTCATCCAGTGCTGAAATTTTCTTGTCCTTGTCCAAGACCTTGTCCACATTCACACGCATGATGTCCACTACCTAAGGGAGGTACAGAAATAAAGAAAAAACTCCTTCAGGACAGGAGGAAGAATAATAACTGGCAGATAACAAGTCTGGACCTCTATAATGCTAGGGGATGCTTTCCCTTACAGAGCCTTGAACTATTTCCCTATAAAAAAAGAAGAAAACAAACAAGATGTTCCCTTGTTTCTAAACTTCTACAGGTTGGAAACTCTTGCACCTACCTCCTCCATTTGTGCCTGGGTTTGCTGTAGTCGTCTGTCACTGGTCATGTTAGAAGGTGGGGCAGGGGGACCTCCTCCTGGGGCAGTCCCTTCTGCCTCTTTGGTGGGTAGCTGAGCTGGAGCAGACCTGCAGAAACAAGAGGACAGAGAACACAAAGTAACCAAGACAGAAAAGGAATCACCTGTATTCTCACTCCATACCACAAAGCGATAATGATTAGGTTATACACAAATAGAAGGGAGTCAGCTTTTAGCAATCCTAAGTAGGGAGATGCAGCATGGAGGCAACGAGTAAAAGATGAAACATTCTGTAACAACATTTATATGGGGCTCAGAGTGTCATTAAGAGATATGGTACTAAGTGCTGATGGGTAACACTTGTAATCCTAGCTACTCAGGAGGCAGAGATCAGGAGGCTCGTGGATCGAAGCCAGCCTGGGCAAACAGTCCTTGAGACACTATCTCGACAATACACAACACAAGAAGGCCTGGTAGAGTGGCACAAGTGGTATAGCACCTGCCTACCAAGCATGAGGCCCAGAACTCAAAGCCCTAGTATCAAGAGAGAGAGACAGAGAGATTGATTTTGATTTTGTTTAGGAACTAGGCATGGTGGCACATGCCTGTGATCCCAGCATTCAGGAGGTTGAGACAGGAGGACAGTGAGTTCAATATGGAGATCTTTCCTCAAAAAAAAAAAAAAAAAAGATATCTTGTCTGGGGTTATCCTCTGACCCAAACTCAAGGATATCCTCTGACACAATTGCCACAGGGACAAATGTGCCAGCCTTAGACAAAATGACATCATTTTCCTGGCTGCTAGAGGCCTCTCACATGAAATAAAATGGAAAAACCCAAGCCAAGACAAGAGAAATTTATAGAAAACACCGCATTCTCAGGACAAGCCTATGGACTGAACTACAAAGCTTGGATAGAAAAGGAAGGGGAAAGCTGACAATCTCTACTTATGAAGATCCAGTTCCTGGTTAAGTTTCACAGTGATTACCGTGTCAGGGCTGCTGTAAGAACAACTTGGAGGATCACCAAAGGCAAAGTCTTTGTAGGTGGAGTGAGTTGGGATTGTTTGCACTGTTTTTGGCAGAGAAGGTAGGGGTTTCACTTAGATTGAATCTGGGACTCAAAGCAATTGTATTAGTTATGGAAACAGTTCCAAGAGCATAGACAAGAAGCAAAAATGCTAGAAACAGTCCTCAATGTACAACCATCAGAGACTTTCTGTCCCTTTCTTTTTTAGATTTGGCAGAGTTTCATGAGACTCCACTTGTCCCCTATATTCCAAAAAGAAATCTGGGTCTATACTACTATATACATGGAGGCTGTTTTCTCTTTCACTACCATCTAAGGCTAAGGACTCCCTTACCCTTAGGAGGGAATAATCTAGTGTGGAGTCTTCAAGATAGACTTCTCTCCACATCCCAACACATGGAGTTTAAATTTACCTGATAAAGAATTTCAGGTGATGAAATGACTCAAATGATAGAACACCTGCCTAGCAAGCAAAAGGTCCTGAGTTCAAACTCCAGTACCACCAAAAAAGAAAGAAAGAAAAAGAGAGAGATACAAGAAAAAGAGAAAGAATTCCCAGAAGCTAACATAAGGAATGAGATCTTCTTTGCCAAAGAAAAAAGCCATAGGCAGGGTGGGGGAGATCTCTAAGATTTAATGGAGAACAGAAATTCCCTGAAGAACTCTTCAAAAAGAAGCCTACCCTCACCAAAGCAGTCCAAGAATAAATTCACAAGAAGTTAAACCACAAAGTCACCAGAAAGGAAATTCCTTAACTAATCAACAATGGAACTAATACCTAGAAGCTCCTCTTCCTTAATTAGGTAAAATTATTTTAGTCTAAAAATAACAATAACCCCTCAGAGAGGCTATACTAACAGATTACATGGATTTATCCCCATTTTAAGGAATCTCTCCCTCATTTCTCTCCAAGGGAAAAAGAAAGCCACAAGACTGTGCTAAGCAATCAAGTTCTAGACTGAAGGCATAAATTTCAATGAGTAGTTAGTAGCCAGTGTTGGAAGCAGTCTCAGATGATGGCACCAATGACAAGATAAAGGTCAGAGACCTTGTGATTCCTTGCTAGCCACCAGGTATTCCACAACTCCACAGATCATTCCACATGGGGGCAGTTAGCTAAAAAGGGTCTCCCTCCCCAAAATGAAAACAACTGAAATCTTATACAGTTTGTCAAAATGCACCAACTACCACCAACAGTTAAAACTTCAACGCTCAAAAGAGAAAAAGTGAAATGATTATAAAGTGTTTGAGGGCTCACTTCACTTATTACTTGTTGGGAGTTGGAAACACTCACCAGTAACATATCCAGGGAGACTAATAAGCCTTATGTAACACAAGTAAATCTTTCCCCTTTTTGCTGAGAGAAGCAATACAAATACATTTAGGACCAACCATGGCTTCTAGCAGTAATCAGAAAGAAAAACTCTATTAAACATATTGTGGACCTACAGGGAAGTATTTAATTCGTCCAGCAACAGTTCTTCCTGGAGACCTTAGAAGGACAGGACGAGGACGTTGAAGGTAAGTTGGAGACAGGGGAAATGCTCTATTCTCCCAATTTCTCCTCCAAAATCTTGGCTAGGATTTGATGACACTGAAGGACCTCCTTCCCTGGTTTCCTTTGATGCATAGCTGCATGGGATCACACGCCACAGCCCCTTGAGTCTTTCTGGGCTGCCCACCCGGAGACACAGAACTGGCAGATAAGTTTCTGCAGCTTTGCTCGCTGCCCTCAGGGATACATCACATTTGGATGAGGGGCATATACAAATGGAGAGACTGCAGGGCAATCCGTGTTACTAACTGGCAGGTGCACCCATGACAGTCTCTCCAGAAGCTCTAAGGGCAGATTCAGTCCGACGACAAGAAAGGGTCTCCGAATCCCCTTCTGTCCCATGCCCCCCCACACACGCCCTCTCTGGGGTTCCACTATACCAGGACCAGAATGAAACACCACGCAAAGGAGAGGGTGCAATGAATGTGGGTCATGTGCGACCCTGACCCGCACGTGGGGTGCCAGCTGTGCCTACTGTGGGAATGGAGTGCTGTCCCCCTCCCAGGGATGGCCCAGTTTGGGGGCGGCGGGAGGTGGTGGTTCTCCGCGTCGCCGCAAGAGTTGCAATACCCATTTTCCGTCGCGCAGAGTCCGGCGGTGAGGGTGAGAGTTGGCCAGGAGGCGTCGAGCTCTCTACACCAGAGTCAACTCACATTTTTCTGACAAAAGGAGTGGCGAGTCCGTCTCCCCTCCGGACGCTGCGGCGGGTCACTCGGCGGGAAGACGCTGCGGCTGAAGTGGACGGAACCGCGGGGCTCCGCCTCTCACTAGCCAGGAGCAGATCTCACTCAGGTGGAACTTACCATACCTCCCGCTCTCGCTCCAGGCTTTATTAGCGCTAGCCATGCCTCCCGGGTACATTGACAAATTGATGTCCAATCCTCGCCCAGGAGTCCTGAAGCTTAGCCAATCATAGTCCTCCTCTCCTTCCGACGCCGATCCCTCACGAGTCTTCGCTGACCGATCCGACTGCATTTGCTTACCTAAGTGGTGCGAGTACCGCCCAGCCCTCTGGAGCACAGACTCAACAGTTTGAGTTAGGATTTTTTTTTTTTTTTTTTTTGGCGCCTCCCAACCAATCGCTGAACTGGCGGCTCCACCCCATCCCAGCGCTCCGGCCTGCTGGACCCTTATCGCGGGGACTCACGACTGCTATGGCGGGCGGTAGGTGGGTGTCGCCTAAGGTGCCCATCCCGGGCCGGAGCGCACCCCACCTTGCGCGTCGGACCAACAGTCCTGAGGATGCAGAATCCACCACGCAGAGCCAGAGGCTCCCGGTGCCAATGCCAGGCTCGCGGTTCGGTCCTACCGAAGCTAGTAAGAAGTCTTCGGTCATTCGTTTCTTTCAATGTAGTCTATCTTAAATTCATCTTCACCTCGAAACCTGCCCCTCTTATCATTCCAGGTAGATTGCCACATCGACTTTGTTACCCAGACCAGAAGCCTGGAAGCCATCCTTGATTTCTCCCTTTTTGTCTTTACTCCAGTAAATCACCAAGTCGGTTTTTCCTTCCTAATACTGCATCAATTCTCTTCTCTCTTCGCACCATTATCCCCTTCCTACACATCAGTTGTAAAACACCATTATTTTGTGCTAGCTTTAAAAATAAAAAGTATCAATAAATTTTAACTGCTTCCTTACCACTTAGAATTTTTATCTTACATTTTGACTTAGATTTATATGCATATAAATTTTTATAGTTCTCTCTCATACATACCTAAAAATGAAAATTTAAAAAGAGTAACACAGTAACTTTATACATACAGCTTCACATTCAGAGACTGATTCTTTAAGGGGTTTTGGTTGGTTTTGTTGGTTTGGTTTTTTGAGACCAGAGTCTGGCTATGTAGACCACGCTCGCTTCAAAGTCCTATGTAACACCAGCTAGCCTTGAACTCGCGATTCTCTTGCCACTACTTCCCCACTGCTGGGATTATGTGTACACCTCTTTGCCTGGCTCTCAGACTGATTCTCCCTCCACTCATCACCACAGTTCCCACTACCAGGTTTTGAACTCAGGGCTTTGCACTTGCTGGGCAGATGCCCTACAGCTAAAGAAAGCCACACCCCCAGCCCTCAGAAAGTGATCCTCCATGATTCAGGTTTTGCACTCGGTTTAGATGAGTTTCCACACCCTGTGGTCCTGTGTGCATGCCATCCAGACCTTTGGTGATGCAGCATTTCCTAAGAGACAGAAAGTGTTCCTCTTATGGCTCTGGAATTTTCTTCCCAGCTTCAGACTCATTTTTCAAGTTTAATGCTCATGAGAAAACATGACAAATACAGTATGACTAATGTCTGACTAATAGCTAAAGAGAATCATCCCAGTGTAGGAGTGTGGAAAGCAGAGTACGAGAAACTGTGAGAACTTGACATGAGCACAGCTATGCCCAATAATGTGCAGGCTGGGATGGGCACAGCCCCCAGCCACAGAAAGGGGAGAAGGTAAAATGCAGCACAGCTGCTTTTCCTGAAATGTTAACATCCAGAGTGTAGCAATCGCAGGTTCCCCCTATCCTAATAACTACAGTGTCACGCTGCCCAGAGAACTGCTGCTTTACATCCTGGTTTACCACTGTATATAATACACTCACTGGAGGTGATGGGGGCTGTTGTGTGTCTCCATCAGAGCGCCCAGCCCACCTGACCCCAGCTTTCTGCATGTTTGTCTTTTGTCTTTTGTTCTTTCTCAATCTCCTATAGTTCCCAGTTAGGTTTCTAGGACGAGCTCACACAGGCCATGAGATAGGAGACGTTAAAATGCCAAAACAACGAAAAAAGTAAGTGGCTTCTATACCAATGGGATATAATACACAGCTTCCAGTCTTGCTCGCCCTCCTATCCATCCAATAGAAGCCACTAACGTAACCTATCCAATATCACAATCCTGCTTAAAACTCTTAAGCAATTGCTCTTAAAAGCATAATGTATTGGTCCCTCTCTTCCCACTCCAGAGAGGGCCTGCTTTCACTCAATTAAAAGTGTACTCCTTTCCTAATAAACTTCACCATCACTTTCACAACATTTCCTCCTAAATTCTTTTCTCTAAAAAAAGTATAATGTGTTAAAAATCTATTTATCGCATCCCATTCCTAAAATCACATCAAAAATGACAATTTGTAAAAAAAAAAAAAAAAGTGAAAATAGTGTATAAACCTTCACTCTTCACAGATGGATGGAACTGTTACCTGCAGAATGAATGCCATTACCCACCTTCTCTCCCTTACAGAATTTTAAATCATTTGGTTATTTTAAAATTAGAGATTTTCAAATAAGTATAGATTCACATGAGATGATCAAAACAACAACAACAGAAATACAGACAGGTTCTCCTATACTTTACCCTATTGCCCCAGTGGTAATGAAACCCAAGTTTTGGACTCTAGGCTCCAAATTGAAACTTAGTCTTCCATATGTCAAGTCTGGCCACTCACCCATATACACCAAATAAAGAGACATTAGTGTGGATGGGGAGAGAAAGGAGATTTATTACACGGCTCAGGACACTCAATGGGAAGAGGCACAGTAAGCATTCAACCCATCTTCACCCATCTTCCAGGTACAGACATGAGTTTTAGGTTTAAATAGAAAAAGAATTGGGACAGGGGACAAAAGTTTATGCTTAGTTACAGTCCAGTCACAAGTGCAGCCTTATTCTTTAGGGGTTCCAGAGAAGTTGTTACCCAAGACATTGTCACCTGGCAGGTAATCTATCCTGAGGAGGCGCTCCTGTTAGAAGTAGTTTCCATTCCTTGTCATAGAGATGTTATCAGTTCTGTCCTTCCCGGAACCCAAGATGATTGTAAAGTGACTGCAGAGAGAATAGCTTAGAAAGACAAATGCAAAATGAAGGCAGGGATGCCTTCATTTATCCTGCTTTTAGTTAACTGTGGGTCCAAGTAAGGAGTGCAGTGCTTTTCAGCAAAAGTAGTTTAAGCACCTCTTACAGTAACAGCTTGTAAAAACACACTACAATATTAAAACCACATCGTTTATCAGAACTCATTAGTTTGATATATACTAATTTATAGGTTAGTGGCAGGGGAGGTAGGTTTGTGCAATTTTATTACGTGTAGACGAATGTAATCACCTCCACAGTTAGGACACAGAACTATTAACTTACCACAAGGCTCCCTCATGCTACCTCTTTTACAACCCCTCCCGTCTCTAACCCTAGCAATATCTATAACTTTATTTCAAAAGTATTATGTAAATGTGACCATATAGTATATAACCCTTTGAAGTTGGCCTTTTTTCACTCATTGTAATACCCTTGAGATCCATCCAAGTTATTATATCAGTAGTTTTCATTGCTGAGTAGTACTCCATTTTGTTTAACCATTTACTTACTGTTACTTTGCTTTTGCACCTTTGTCAAATCAGTTGGGAGGGATAAAGAGGAATGATGGATGGGATTAATTCAAGTATGATATATTTGATATATTTTAAGAACTTGTGCTGAAGTTGTAGAGCACCTGCATAGTAAGAACAAAGCCCTGAGTTCAAATCCTGGTACACCAAAGTAAAAATCAGTTGTAGGTGCTGGTGATGTAGTTCAGTGGTAAAGTACTGGCCTAACATTTGCAAAACCCTGGGTTTGATTACCAGCACTGAAAATAAAATCAATTATATACATTTGCATGGGTCTATTTTAGGGTTCTCCATTCAGTTCCACTGACCTATGTGTTTATTCTTCTGTCTTTATTACTGTAGCTGTACAGTAAGCCTCATCATTGAGAAGAGTTACTTCTTCCACTTTGTTCTTCTATTTCACAATTACTTTAGCAGGTTCAGGTCCTTTACCTGAAGAGTTTTTGTTCTTGTTGTTTGTTTGTTGGAGATGGGTCTTGCTATTTTGCCCAGAATGGTCAAGTGATACTCCCTCCTCAGCCTCCTGAGTGCTGGGATTACATCCACAGGGCATTTTAAACATATTCGTGAGTTGACAAGAAAGCAAAGACTGTCTAAAGACCATAAATAAGTGACAGCCGGTACTCAGAGAGGAATCTGAAGAAGGTGAGTTTGAACATGTTGGTTTCTAGGTTGCCCCCCTAGAGGAGGAGACAAAGCATAGTGCTTACTCAGGGTTGGAAATCTGATAGAAGTCTCCTATGTGAAGCTGGAACCCCAAAGGCTACATCTCATTTAGAGTGGATTTTTTAAAAAGCTAGCACCCAAACCACCCCTAGGGAACCTCAGAGCAAATCACCTGGAAACCAGGTGCCTACTGGACTTTGTATTTTTCCCTTCAAATATTTGCAGAGAATTTATAACCTCAAGCTGTGTTTTTCTTTTCCTGCCTGAATTTGTTGTTCTCTTTTGAATGCGTTTCGTATCTCTTCTTCCTAAGAACAAAATGACAAGAATCAAGAGTGGTTTGGGGTTGATAGTTCCACCAGGCACCTGGTAGAAGGCAAAACCTCCTTGGATGAGCATCTTCAATCTAGGCCTTGGGGAATTTCCACAGACACAGTTCCAAGGGAAGTAAGTTGTGGCCCCAAACTGAAAACAAACAAGGAAGAAAGTGCCAAGAGTAAGAACCAGTAGAGACAGAGACAGGAATTAAGGAAATTAGAAAATCAAGCCAAATACTCCAATGTCTGATTAATAAAGGATCTAAAAGGAGAAAGCAGGATATATGACAGAAGGCAGAGAACAGTGTGTGTATATTGAATATAGAAGAAATACACTGGAAGTTTCCTAAATTGAATGAGCCTCTCCAGATCAAATTGTGTGTTGTGCCTGGCACAATGAAAGAAAGATAATCACATCAAGACAATTTTTTCTGCAATCTCAGAACAGAGAAGAGAGGATCCTAAAATATTCCAAAAACAGAATATAAATGAAACAGAAACCAGAATGGCATCACAATACAAGATTAGAAGACCATGTATCAGTGCCTTTAAAATTATGAAAAAAGGACTATTAACCTAGAATTCTATAACAACCAAGCTATAAATAAAAGATGAGGGTATCTGGGTGTGGTGTAATCTCAGCACTGGGTAGGTTTATTCAGGAGGATCATTTGAGGTCAGGAGTTCAAGTCCAGACTTAGCACTGTAGCAAGACCCTTCCTCGAGAAAAAGAGAGTAAGTCAGGCCATGGTGGCTCATGTCTGTAGTCCTAGCTACTTGCAATACTGAGATCTGGAAGTTCCAGTTGTGAGGCCAGCCCAAGCAAATAGTTCAAGAGACCCAATGTCAAAATAACTGTCTCATGCCTCTAATCCAATTGACAAAATTATAAGTGTATACATTAAAAAGAATGCTACTTATAACTTAAGGAAAAACAAAAGGCCAGATAAGAAATAGGAGTTATGTCACATGTCAACTGAT